GAATCTTGCGGAATAGTAACAAATCGTTACTCTTGCGCCTGAATTGCAATGAAGCTAGTCCAAAGTTCTTGTTCCTCGTTTCGCTAGAAGGTATTTGATCATACATATTCTCAAGAATTAAGCTTTTTTTTTACTGAAATCTAAAAATTTCAGAAGGTTATGTTCAATATACAAAGTCTGATCCTATTTCGATTGCCAGTCAGTTCTCCTATTGCAGGAATGTTGCGAATGCTGTCTACTGGCTAACGAACTTTTGGCAAAAAATCAACCCTGCATTCCACCTACAGGATTTTCGGCTGCATGTTTGAGGGCTTTCTCACGTTGCTGTCAGGGAACATTCGAATTCACTCAGACAATTCCGATATCAACTGGTTTGACTGGCTCATTTTTTGTGTAGGGTTTACAGTGATCACTACACCGGTCACTCGGTGGTTTTCTTCGTTAGGTCGACCAAACTTTGCAGTCTCTGAAAACAACGCCGTCTATCTGGGTGATCGATGCGCTCATTCGAAATGCGAACATTTTTGCAATGATCGGTGAGCTCATCCGTTTCGAACTATAAATGTTTTTCTGATAGAAAGTTGAAAATCCGTCGTAAGGAAAGGGCCTCGCTAAGTCTATTCTCTTGAGAAATAATTAGAGCCGTCCTTTCTGCGGGAATAGGGATCCTTTGAAACCGGTTCTAACGATGGCAGCCGCGCACGCGACCGTGGGAATTTGCGGCAATCAAAGTCATCTTCCACTGGGAATTCAAATTTCACTTCCACACTTCGCGCCCCGTCCCGAAACGCGGCGGGTGCGGCGGAAGCGACTTACCGCTTGGGTGCGAGTTCCCCACCCAGAAATCGGTTGTCATTACCGAAGAATCTAAGAAATAAGTCGTCAGGTCACTATACACCTACCGTAATCCAGTGTTCGACTTCCCAAAATGAATGATAATATTACGTAACAAATAAAAAAATTTTTTTACAGAGGAGGAGAAAGCGTTGAATGCACGTGCAGACCTGGGTACGATCTAGGCCCGGATGGTCAGAGCTGTGTCGGTGAGTTCATCATGGCATTTAGTTAGACGATCGCTGAAAATGTAGTTGGGGGAAGGGCGAGGGAGAAGGGTCTTCTGCCCTACCCATCATCCAACGTTAGAGCGTAGGAAAGGAGTGGTTACCGACTCAACCTGTGCTTAGAGACGATTTGACTGAGAGAGCATGGTTTTACTTGTGCCAGCCAGAAGCGGAGGAGCAAAGGAATGGGTGAAAGGATTACTTCATACGAGAAGCTGGGATGGGGTTCGAGTTGTTCGCTTACCCTACTGCTTCCTCCCTTCTAAGGCTTAGATGGAAAAAAAAGTAATGCGTTCTTCTCTAGGGACGTACCCTCTTTCCTAGGCACCATTATGGGCTGGCGAAGTCGGCCACTCTTCTGTGGTATAGCTTCCATGTGGGAAAAGAGAGGTGCCCCCCCCCCCCAACTATAATACATTTCCACCCGATTACCTTATTCCTTATTCCGTTAAATATCAATTTGGTTTCTTAATAAAGCATATTTTATTTTAAAGGCACAGTTCACGAATTTTAAGAGAACAAGCCTAAGTGACATCGCGAGGTGATTGTGCGGAATAGCGCATTGGAGGAGAAGAAAGCACAAAAATCAGTAGACTTCAGAGATATAAGGCTTTTCAAATGTAGCGAAGTTGGGGGCAGCATGAGATTACGACGACGACGGAAGTAGCGTGTTGTGAATTGGGTGCGATTGTACGTCAATTGGTGACAGTAGGCAAAATTGCCACCTTCCACTGTAGCCATCGGTCATGGTCAGTTGTTTGAATTTTCAGCAAATGCGCTCCAATTGTGAATGGTGCTGCATCTGCAACGCCGTTAAAACACGGCCACGCATGTCATAGTCCCCATTGCGCCCTAGCCAGACCGTTTTTAACCCAACAGCACCTCCTATGGCATTCATGCGAGCTATGAGTTGTCCCGGTTGGAAATTCTGGGGTCTATTGCTGTCGTTAACTGTGCCTTTAACAGCTTTATTCTCTATCGTTAACTGCGACCTTAATGACTTTATTCTATTTAAATATCTAGTCTGGGAAACTAACTCAATTTTGTTAATCTTGAACAAAAAAATCTATTTTGTGGGAAGATCGCGATGAGTGTCGTTCGTCTACTTCTACTTGCGAATCTGGACGAGAAGATTGCGCCAGTACTGATGGCAGCTCTGACTGTCATCATAGACGGTTGCCTCGTTCCGCGATTGATGAAAACCGATGGAAACGAATCAAAGAGATTATGAAAAAATACGGAAATGATACAAAGGAAAAGCTTCTCAGAGTAATCGGAAATGAGCCACTCATCGAGACTATTCGATATCCTGATTCTGTTATTCTGAAGACAATAAAGCTTATATGCCCACCTGGATGGCAACCAGAGGGTGATGACAAATGTGTGGGTGAGTGAACGGTTTGGTGCATGCGACCTACACGTCTCGTTACTAATTCTAACCTGGAATGTTGAAGTTTATGCTTTTCATCCAAGCCATTTGGGTTCCACCGGTGTGCTTTCACTTCCTCTTCAGATAACCGCTCTGTAAAGTGCTCTTGTCAACCGCCCTTGGCATAACCATAACTTCCCATAACAATGAATATGGCAAAAAANAAAAAATGATGAAAATAAGTGAAAGTGAAGAAGGTCTCTATAGATTTGTATATCACAAATATCGGTCTTCTATTGCTGGTAAAATACGAAAGATGGTGCCACGGTAAGGGTCATTGTTTCGGGATCACATAGAGCCGCCTGGCGTTGTGATCCTCTTTCCTTCCCGTCCACACAGTGCTTTCAGAGTACAGCGATGAGCGTTGAGCTCAGAGCGTTGCTAACCACCCCTGACAACGTTGGACATCGTTCATCAGCGTCCGCGCCGCCAATGACAGTCTTTGCGTTGGAGCATATTATTTTCTCAGCAAAGCATGCTCCAACACTTGGCATAACATGCTTCAACGCGAATGTCGTTGACTGCGGCGCGGACACTAACGATCGCTGTCCAGCGTTGACATGAACTGGCCAGCAACGCTCCGCGCTTAGCGTTCATCGCTGCACTCTAAAAGCTCCAATACTGGTAACCAGCAGGTCATTTGTGACCAAAGTCCATCGGGACAAGGAAGAAGTAAAGAATGCATTCTCGATTCACGGTGACCTGGTAGTGGTGTACTTTCAAAGACCAGATGGGCTGTCTTCAATCCTGCTGAGTGTACAGGCAATAAGTGAAATTCTCATCTATCGGACCATAGCCTCCATTTTATGGACACAAAGCCCACTTTGTTTTCTTCCACGTTGTTGTTATTTGCGACTAATTCATGACGCCAATTTCATAACACTCTTGATAAACTATAAACTAAGTTGTTTTCAATCGATGTCCTATTTGACCTACTAACTTCTAATATGTTGTGTGAGTGCAACTAATCGCAACTTTCAGACATTGATGAATGTCTTTTGTTGATGGATGATTGCCTGGAATCTCAACGATGTCTGAATCTACCAGGATCATTCAAATGCATTCGAACACTTTCATGTGGTACCGGATACGCCATGGACTCAGAGACCGAGGAGTGCCTTGGTTTGCGATGGCTTGCTGTGACTTAACTGCATGCATAACATTTTGTGACAAATTTTTCTTCGAATATTCGACCTAAAACAAGATCCTTACAGACGTGGATGAATGCACCCTCGGTGCTCATGATTGTGGTCCGCTTTATCAATGTCGCAATACTCAAGGAAGTTATAGGTACCGTTTTTCTGTTTATCCATTAATCAATCATAAGCAATTGTTTGTAATTATAATCATATAATTTGTACAATGTTCAATATGCATTGTGTACATTTTTCATTATCGCAAGTGTGTCGTTAGGTCAGGAGTTGCTTCTTGCCACATAGCTGTAGTGCTCGACGTGCGCAACAAATATTCTACCCTTCCCACTTGTCTTCCAACAAAAGCTATGGATTATAAGTATCGCTTTTAATTTTTCGGATCCAGCTTTCCTTTGTTGTAGTGTTATAGCATCTTATCATTAGAGAGAAGCGATTTTCCACTATTTTAGTCTAATCGAAATGAGCTTATGGCCGAGTAAGACGCTACTTATTGTACCTTCACTATTATCTGCTTAGAAATGGTCATAAAATAGATCCACCCATAGTAGGTTAAGTGCTAGAGCAACCAAACATTGTACTTCACCTCCACTATAAGTTTTTGTTTCTTCTCCGGCTTTATTCGAATTCTTAGCGAGATGTAGTGTAGTGATAAGTGACGCAATATCTCATACTCACGATCACAGGTTCAAACACTGGATCGCTATCCGCCTGAGCCAACCAAACCTTTCATCCTTCCGGGATCGCTTCAATAATGGCGAACGTCTGGGAGGATAAAAGCACTGACTTGTACATCGACTTGCCATCACATTTCAGGGTAGGGGCCACACAGGCATTCATTCCGCCCCAACGATTCTAAATGGGAATCGAATGCGAGCCGCATCCCTCAGACGGGATTGACTTCCGGAAATTCAGTCCTTTATCCTTTTATCTGAATTATTGCGTCACTGCCACTTAAACTTTACTATCGTTACCTTTGCTTTTACTTTATTTAGCTTCATCACATCACACTGTTTCATAAATTAGTTAGAAAACAAGACGACTTACTTTCTTTTTTTGGCCAGCATTTCAGGCTGTCGATTTACATAGGTTTCCATAACGTTTCATGGAGAATTGACCTTTTTTCCATTGATGAATCAATGGCGTACCAATATACTCACGTCATCAACGATCATTTTCTGAAAAATTAGTTGTGGTGTCCTTTCTCTGCCCTCATACGATCACTTTGGCCTTATTTAATCGAGAGAGCGAGATCATTGCTGATGCTGATTGCTGTGCTTCACTGCCATCACAGTCTTCCAGTTAATCGCTACTTTCAGATGTGATCTGAAGAAATGTGCGGAAGGTGAGCTGCAGAACCCAGTGACTGGTGAATGCACAAGTATCGAATGCCCACAGGGATATTATCCATCCAATGGAATGTGCCTTGGTAAGCCGAATTCATGACCGTCACTTCGATACAAATTAATCGAATTCAGATTATGACGAATGTGCTGACCCAGATCGTTGTCTTCCTACAGAGGAATGTGTGAACACAGTTGGTTCTTTCCGTTGTCAACTAAGGAACAACATATGTTCACCCGGTTACGAATTTAACCCGAACACCGGATTCTGTGACGGTAAGACGATTTCGGTTCTCGTACTGCAGCCAAGATGGTGGTCACGCATTGGTTCCTCGATTATTCAGTGTTCTGAACTTGATTGTATTTTCTCTGGTAATTATTCTACAACCATTTGTGTCGCCGATTCAATACGTAAAGGGCGATTGTACGTTCGAGTTGGAAAAATTCTCAATGCTTGAGTGTTCTACTAATCCTGTCTCACTGCTCACTACGCGCAGCAGATCCTAGCTAGTTGTACCCTCATGTGGCACGGCATTAGCGACTGCCTGAACCGACTGTCAGGGCGAGTGCTTGAAATGAAGGGTATATTCTCACTCGGAAGATGCTCCAGATGTAGTTAAAAGAGAGATTCTGAAGTCCATATGTCAGTCGGGTCTTGCGTGATGTATACAGCTTTCCGCTTAACTCAAAACTAGCTCTTTCTTTAGTAGGAAAATAATGGGTGGATTGACGGGGCGTACCTTCACTGTAGCCTTCGATGCTCACAGCAGCGCAAGGGAAACATTGCGGGGCCATCCCTAGGCTCATCACTACATTGTCATGACTCTGTTGGATGCAGTCGTTAAGCTCTGTGTGATTTTTCCAAACTTTCTTTCATTTCTGCCTTAGCTCGCTATTTACTGAATTGGGATCCCTGGGCAGCGTTGTGCTCCCGTTGCGAAATGTTACAACCCATTGTGGAGCTCCCCCCTCCCCCATGAAAAGTCATAAAAAGGCTTCCCCTTAAAAATTGATGCGATCGATATCGGTTTCTGGGTTCTGGTTCAATTTCCGTCTCGAACCTTGCATTCGTTCTCTTCCAACCGCCCGCGTAGGCAAAGGGTCCTTTTGGTAGGGAAGCTATAGATATAAGAGTGTAGCAGATCGATCCCAATTTCAGATATCAATGAATGTTCAAACAAGACGATTTGTGATGGATTATTGTGTATAAACCTGCTTGGCAGCTATAAATGCCGTTGTAATGCTGGATACGAATTTAATGAAAAGGTCTGTCATTTATTAAATTAGCTAACGATTTAAAAATATTACTAAATCGTCAGAGAACACAGTAATGTTAGCAAAACCCACTGAAAAGTGCATTTCTTAAAAAAGGCAACCACGCTATGAAGCGTAGGAGGTAGGGGATTCCATAATGATTCTGCTCACCCACTTATTGCCAACTTCGTTTTCCATGAACGGACTAACAAAAGACTTGCCTCTTCCTTCTTCTAGGTAGATTACTTTTGAATGCACAGTTAACGATAAGTTTGAGTCGAAAAGCGGAAGTATTGGTTGGGAATAATGCATCGATAGTGAAGAGAGCGAGAAAATTATCCGATTTTGCAGAAAATAAGGTTCCTCGGAGGAAGGGAAATAGAGGTTGGACGAGATTACCACGACGAAAATGGCATTGAAGGGGTATATGGACGAGATTTCAGTTGTTGCGATTGCGCAAAGAGCTGACTACATCAAGTCAAAATTGTCTTTAACTCTGTTGCGCTGTAGCCATGGGACATGACAAGTTGTTCGAACCTCCACCATGGAATTTGATTGAAATAGTGCAGCTTCTACAACGCCGTTGAAACTCGTCCCCTATGGGTGTGGCATTCAACAGACACAATCTCTGAGCCCTTATAACAATCCATCTGGGCCATTTATCGATCTATAGCGCGATCCTCGGTATACTGGAACACCACAGAGTCATCAGGAGGGTATTTCTCAGAAACAATCTTTATTGTGAAGTGTGCCTTTTAACTGAATTGACAGCTTGCACATCATTTTGAGGGAGAAAATAAGAGTCATACAAACCGACACAACTGAATGAATGGGGAATAAATATATGAAACAAATGTAATCGCTTACAGACAAAACGTTGCGAGGATGTGGACGAATGTGAGAAGTTTTCGGGCCACGTTTGCGATTTTTCGGCTGAATGTGTAAATACAATTGGATCATTCATTTGCAAATGCAACAAGGGATACAAGTTGGCTGAAGATGGAAGACGATGCGAAGGTTTGTCCAGGAGTCAGCAGTATTTTTAGATAAACTGAACAGTGCTGATGATAAGCCGAAATAGAAGAGGTAGGCGATAGTGTAATTGTTCAGGGTAAAATTTTAGTTTGACTCCATAGGCTTTGATCTTACTTCCCATAGGTTTTTGACGTACATGTCAGGTAGTGACATTCGACCTCGCGGAGATGTGATTCTGTGGAACTTTTTGGTTTTGCCAACAAAGTTGGTGATGGAAATCGAAGTGCTCACGCAAGGCCATGCGATTTAGCCTAAGTTTTCAGTTAGAACTTTCGAGGATACGCTCTGACCACTCTTTTTTCCATTAGCGTTCTGCTATCGAGCGGGTACAGAAGATGGAACGCCCCACGAAATGACTGCGCTGCTGGATTTGTTATCCTTGCCTAGAAACTACCCTCACAGTTTGTCACGCGTTGACCATTTTGCCACAACACCCGAAACACCTGACATGGGTAGTCGCGCATAGGTGCTGAAATCTTTAAATCAGCGCGAGACTCGCCAAATAGCAGTTTGTGGAATAAATCTCTTCGACCACGTATCAAACACTTTTATTATTGATACTCAAGAATTTTTACTAATAATAAAAAATCTCGTGAAGCTTTTCTGATATATCTGCTTATTTCCATCCACCAGATCTTCCAAAAGAACCTCCGGGTCCACCACGCGGATATCCGCCGGCTCCTCCGTACGTATTTCCTCCAAAGCCTCCATAAGGACTATTTCCGAATCCCCCGTACGGATTTCCTCCTTGCCCTCCGAAAGGATATTGCCCTTGTCCTCCAAACGAATTTCCTCCTGGCCCGCTTGGGAATGGTCCTCCAGGTCCTCCATAAGGATAACCTCCTTGTCCTCCGTAAAATCCTCCACGTCCTCCATACGAACCTCTTCCTTGTCCTCCGTAGTAGGGCCCGCCGGGTGCTCCGTAAGAATTTCCTCCTCGTCCTTGGTAAGGCCCAGCAGATCCTCCGTACTGACCCCGTCTTTGTCCTCCGTAATATCCTTCAGGTCCTCCAAACGGACTTCCACTTTGTCCTCCAAAAGGAGATCCTCCAGGTCCTGCGTAAGGGTTTGCTCCGTATCCGGCAAGCGTCGCACCATGCACCACGTTGAAATCCTGAAATACATAGGAAATTTTTCGCAACACTCTAATCTAGTTATGTAAACTCTTCACTTTGTCAGATGATTTTTTAGCAGCAAAGTACAAGCCCGTCGTGTATACTACTTCTTTCCTTTTCCATTTGATGGATTCATATTTCACTGAATTTCCGTGTCTCAGAGCATAGTTATGGAGGGTGAACCACGACAATTTTCGAGATGCTGGAAGGCCTAGTTTAACCAAGACCCTAGCATTCTGAGCCTCCCTTTCATAGAGGATAAAGGATGAAGTTTTGTGGTGTCAATCGATCCCGTCTGAGAGATGCGCCCAAGCATTTGACTTCCATTCAGAATCAAAGTGGCGTATTGAATGCGTATGTGGCCTATGAAATGATTTGTGGTGGCCAGTCGATGTGCAAGTCAGTGCTTTTATCCTCCCGGACGAGTCTGATACCACCGCCAAACGATATCTCACAAGGAAGTCGTGATCGATATCTGCCTAGGCCAACCGAAGGTTTGGTTGGCCTAGGCGGATATCGATCGGATTCGAACCCACGACTTCCCTGTGAGATAGTCGCCACTTGTCACTACCCTAGCTCTGCCCCTACCCTTCCTTTCATACACATGATATATTTAGAATAAAGTCTTCCGTCTGAAAAAAAANAAAAAAAACGCACCAGAAATGATGCCAACGACACAGCAACTGCTAGAAGGGCGTGAAGATACATCTGAAAGTTGAACAGGACTAAGGTGAAGTTCCGTTGTGTACAGAGATGCCTTAAGGACTAGAACGAGTGCGACCATAGAGATACAATAAACCTACAGAGCAGGGTGACCGAAATGAAAGCTTTGATAAGTATCACAGGGATATGAAGATTAAGGAAAGCGAAATATTGAATTGGTGCTGGTTCTAGTTTAGCACGCCTTTTATATTGAAGGCTAATATCGAATGATAGCATCGATATGCACCTGATCTACAAGAGAGAGCTCGATCCTCACTTTTTTTGCAACTGTTTGAACAGCTAGACAGACCTTTTCGAAAACAAAGATGAAGGACAGAGAACACTATTGGTTTTTGTTACCTTATGACGCTTTATGTTGATGCAATCTGCATGGACTTCGTGCTGATCAAATGATTACAGAAAAGGTGAGGATCTGTGGTCAGATGAACCCGTGGGCTGTTTGGGCACGCCCTTTTGCAGTGGGTGTTCATCGATGCTTGTCTTGGGATTTAGCAGCTCACTATTATAAAGGTCGCTTTGCTAGTCTCACCAGTAGCAAAATATTTTGTCTTCCCTCATTTAGATAACCCCCTGAAATCTTTTGTCAAGGCACTAGTATCTGCGAACTAACCATGTGCTATTCCCATGATCGCGCTCATTTTAATGCCTCTGAAATATCTCTGGGTACAACAGAAAGTTCAGCGTACAGCTGTCCAATTTTCATATGTATCTTCACGCCCTCTTAACTATTGATGTGTCGTTGGCAACAATTTTGGTGCGCTTTTTCCATCCTGGTTTTTCTGCTCGTGACGTTTTCATCTAACGTTGTAATCATGCGAAGAAAAGGTTCTGAAACATCACTTTAAAACTTCATTTTCGTTTTTTTCTCTCACTTCATGAGAAACAAACATGCTTTTGAAGTAGTATGTACCGTAATTTAGTAGGAGTAGTATCGTTGGTCAACAATCCATCACTTATGGGAGGAATCGAAAGATTCCGTCATGAAATCCAAGCTGATGCCTCTTTTTTGCAGTCACAGTTTGTGCAAGTGAGCTCAGAAAACGTAGAAAACAAATCTCCCATTTGTGTCAGTGATATTATCAGTCATAAATCCTATCATTTCCTAGTATCTCAGCGTATGATCGACCACGACTATCCACGGCATGTCAACTCGTACGTTTAGAGGAAGGGTAAACGAGTGGAGGCGTACCGGAATACACTTTGACGTTACACCACTGCTATGTAATGCCCCTACAGAATCGACATCCGTTGGCTCAGCTGTGACCATCTCTTAATATAGCAATACTCCCTACTCGTACACTTCGTCTGTCGTATGGGTAATATTGCCGTATATATAAAAAAAAGTTCTTGAAGGATTTTCATGTGGAGATCTGACCTGTAAAGCATTAAGCTGTTAGGAATCCTTCTACAAACGATCGAATGAACGTTTTCAGATATCAACGAATGTGAAACTGGAGAAGCCGACTGTGAACAGAAATGTATCAACATTCCCGGATCATACCAGTGCATTTGCAATCGAGGGTATACAGTCGGTAGGACCTGCTGCGAATAGTTCTTAAATATTGCTAATTGATAAATTAATGGAATATTTATGGCAAAAATTTCAGGAACTGATGGAAAGACCTGCGTTGATATCGACGAATGCAAACTTTGGGCTGGTGCTGGTTTGTTAGAAAGTGAAAGCTTTTAACATAATTACGCAAAAAAGCAAAAACGATGAATTTTTATCGCCTTGCCCAAAAAAGTTCTACAATGCCCAACATGCTTCACAGCTGGTATTTAACAACTGTAAGGATGAATTTAGCAGGATCCCTCATTTATTGGTCTAATCATTCCTCTAGAAAAGAGAAGAACCTTCAAAAATGCTGCTCGAAAGAGGTTGAATGGTTCGCATTTAGTTGAAATAGCTTCTAAGATGGATAGTCAGTAGGGTAGATTTGATAAGGGATCAAAATCTGGTAGAGATTTGATCCCTGTTCAAACTTTCTGACAGCCCTTCACTTTCATTTTTCGAATGGTAATCGAAGAACACCAATTAATCACTATATAGATGAAATTAAGCAAAAAGCACTGTTGTACTAGCTGAATTTACTGTTTTTCCTTGATATTTTACTCTATCGACTATTCATTGGATTAACTCTCAAGAATTGCTTTAGTTAGTCAACCTCTATTGACCCAACATTTCATTATGTATAATTTTATTTATTGTTATTTGTTCATTATGTTGTATATGTCATTTTTACATATTTCCGTTTTCACTGAAGAGTTCTTGTCATTTCAGATAATGATTTGTGTATGGGAGGATGCATAAACACCAAAGGCTCATACCTCTGTAAGTGTCCACCTGGATACAAAATTCAACCGGATGGACGAACATGTGTGGGTGAGTATCAATTTTCTTCTGGATATTTACAATTGAAATAGTCTAAATATTTCCAATCTATCGAGATTCCTGACAAGTCCTTTGTATTCCGTGGGCTACAGGGTAACACTAGTTGGAAGTCGTAGTGTGCCTTTAAGGTCCCAACAGAACATGCAAACGGCAAGGGACACTCTCAGAACCATGTGGTGTCATGGCTTATTCCGAATCAGTGGAAAGATTTCAGGAGGCTTATGATTAATGTTCATCTTCAGATATCGATGAATGTGCCCTGGGCGAATGTCAGGGACATGATCGAATCTGTGTCAACACTCTTGGTCACTACAAATGTCATCATATTGTATGCCCAGAGAATTATGTCCACGACAGTAACTATAAAAAGTACGGTATCTACTTTACAGTAATTCAAATCAAAGCTTGGTTACAGTGCACGGTTGAGTTGACTACAGTGTGCTCTGCAGTGCCTCCAAGTCTAATATTTCAGCCGTTGTAATCGTCTTCGTTCGGTTTGCGCTGGTTTGAGTGATGCTTCGTGTAAAGCTCGTTACCCGGTACATATTACTTGGCAGTACATCGCAATTCCCAAAGGGATTGCCATCACTTCGCATCGCCCAACGATCACCCTGTTCACCATCAAAGGCCCTGCTCACAATGACTCAATCGTCCAGTTCGAGCTCAATCTTAAACGGGCTATTCCGGGTACGATCCCCATAAACGTCTAACAGATTAACTCCCTCACTAATCAGTTTGTGCTAACCGAACTAACTTTTTTCAGAATCACCAGCTGTACTTTTGGCAATCCGCCAGAACTTTCTCCTACAAAAAGGACGAGATCGAAATTCAGCAGTGATCGCTGTTCGAGATACATTGGATGGACCGCAAACCATTGAACTGGAGCTTATTCTGAGGCTCACGAAGAGATCCCAGTTCACCGGGAAATATATTGCCAATTTGATAGTGCATGTTGCCCCACATAAACGCCATTCGGGTGGATTTCATAAGTATCTATAATTATAACTAACAAGTCCTAAGTTGATTGGATCGCGATTTTGCCAGCGATTGGCCTTTCGTGTATTGGAGGGAGGTTCATAAAACAGACCCATGCTCTGAAGGTGGTACCGCGGGGCACCTACATGGCTGCAGGCTCCTTTTTCCTAGATATTTTTGGTTTATTTAGCAGATTTTTGGTTCTTTTAGAACCCTTGTAGGGTCCCGTTAGGGTAAGGCTGTTGAGAAAACTTTCATGACAGCTGGTGAGGACATATGAACCTCGCTTCAGAACATGTCGCTTTTTTCCAGGAATTATACGTGTTTCTTTTAATATGATATGGTATTAACTATATGTTACAGCATGATCTCGTTAATTCTATTATAGTTTATTTGTTGTTTTTTGTATCTGTGATAACGATGGTTGCAAAGTAATCAGAGCCGCTAGAAGTTTTGATAATAAATTGCTGTACTTATTTGAGAGTTTTAATGATGAAAAACGCTTGGGTGCTCGCTCGAATATTTTGAAGGCTCAGTTCACGATAATTTTGGGGTAGCCACACGGTTTTCGACGATGAAAGGAAGCGATAGTTCAAAGCGGTGCAAAGGTGGTGGAAAAACGCGGAAATTGGCGTATTTAAAAAGTGTAAGGCTTCAAAAAAGTAGTATAATCAGGGGTTGGACGAGAATGTGACGACAAAAGTTGCATGGAAGGGGTAGTTGAGGTGGAAAGTCAATCACTATCGCACACTGATGGTCGTGAGTCCGAATCCCGCATCGATGTCCGCTTAGACCAACCAAGCCTTCTGTCCTTCCGGTGTCGGTAATTGGTATAAGGCTTGTCCTGTTCTGAATGGAAGTCGAATGTGGGGCGCATACCTCAAACGGGATTTGTCAACGCCAGAAGACTTCAAAAAGCTTCATTTATTCAGCCTCGTCTTTTATGCAATCCTAGCGTGGTAGAGCATTTTTCTCAACATCCTTTCGGAGACCAGAATTCTTCGTTTAAGGCATGTTATGTCGTGTGAGGAGGGGTGTAGTACGTGACAAAATAAACTTTTATTTTCTGACGACTAGTATGACTGTATGACCATATATCCATACGGAGAAGGGACCAATTTTTCTATGGATTTATTTTTCTGAATTTTTTATGCTTTCAATAAGTCACTGCGAAAGCCCAACGACCAGACCCCTAGGGTAATACGAAGAAAAGAGGCGAATCATCGCCCTGGGTCTAGGCTAAATGGCCACTAATACCGAATGGGGTCACTCTGTCTGATGTCTTGTATTCCTGTACAAATATATGTCTCCCAAATGTAACTTAGTTGTTTAGCAATGTACAGGATGGATACTCCTGTCTGAAATCTTGTAAACAAGGCGATGCTGCATGTCTTGGAAATCATACTGAAGAAATCCTGTACCAATTTCGAGCTCTTCCCTCTACGAAATCGATCAACAACCCAATTGAGGTCTGCCTTTTTACTGAATAATTGATGAACCTTTCAGCACAAATTAAGCTTTGTAGGGATCGTATAAGAGGTAAAAAAAATTTAATTTGAGTAGGTAGGTAATCGAGGTGGGTACATGGGGAGGTCTTGTGGTGTAGGTGTCAACTCAAGATTCGGATCATGCATTGACTGTGAGCTCTAAGTAGCGCACTATCACAGTCATGGAGTGATACCTTCCCAGACCAATCAAATCTTCCTTGTAAAACTCATTTTTGACTTCATTTAATAGATTATCATTGAGTATTACTTCTTAACACCAGTATATATTCAACTTGATGAAGGACCAACTCGGCTCAAAAGATCATAATCATTCTTTAATCGAACACTTTTTTAGGTATCCCGGATTCGAACGCTTCTGGAAGTACCGTTCTCTGTCTCATATTACATGGATAGGGTCGGCCGACGTCATTTCACTGTTGAGCAGGATCAAAACATAGGTTTGCTGTGTCTACACTTCTTCACTGTCTCTAATAGGCGAAGTGGTGTAGTGCCAAATGACCCA